TGCCAATGCAGGAGACACAAGGGACAAAGGTTCAGTCCCTGGGTGCAGAAGATCCCCTGGAGGAGGAAATGGCTATTTGCTCCAGTTTTCTTGCCTGGAAAACTTCATGGACAGAAGAGCCTGGCAGGCTACAGTCTATGGGGTCGCAAAGAGTCTCAGACACGACTGCGCACAGGACAGCAGCATCATTTTATTTATTTCCTTATCTGTGGCTGCGCTGGGCCTCAGCTGCTGTGTGGGCTTTCTTTGGTTGTGGCAAGTGGGGGTTCCTCTCCAGTTCGGGCGTGCAAGCTTCTTACTGCGGCGGCTTCTCCTATTACTGAGCGCAGGCTCTGGGGCAGGGGCTTGTGGGGTCTTCCCAGACCAGGGATCAAACCTGAGTCTCCTGCACTGGCCAGCGGATTCTCTACCACTGAGCCACCCAGGAAGTCCCTTTCTGAGTCCGCCTTCACCTCCTCAGCAGCCCTACGGGGCAGAGGTTCTTACGGTCCCATTTTGTGGATGACAACACTGAGGTTCAGGGAGGCTGAGCATCTCCCCTGAGACGGGCCGTGGGGTGGGGGGCTGTTTCACCCTGAAGCCAAGTGCCCTGACGCAGACTCTAGGTTCTCCGTCCCGAGGTCTGGGCCTCCAGGCTACTGTGAACGAGGTCGGTTGCATCCTCACGGTCGGTACAGAGTTCCCACCGGACACAGCCGAGGCCGCGGTCCTGACCTCATTCCCCAGGGCCCCAGTGCCTGCAGGGCTGACCGGAGCAGCTGCAGCCTGGAGAGAAGGTGACCCAGAAAAGCCAGGAGGGAATTTCAGAAGCAGAGACAGCTCCGTGGTGTCAGATGCCGGGGCGATAGGCCGACAAACGCGCCTGCTCTGATGTGATTTGTGCTTTGGGGACGTCTTGTCCCCGCAACCCAGACTGTCCTGCACTGGCCAGGCCTGCTCCTCCAGGACTCAGCCCAAAGCATTGCCCCCCACCATGGAAATATCGCTTATGACTAAAATATAATAGTCTCATGATGTTTTTAAAAAACCACACATGATAACAAGTTTTCAGACTTGTTTTTATGCACATGTGTAAAGTGAATAAGTAAATTTCATACTTAACATTTGTAATGTACTTATTTTTGTACTCACAGATTATATATATATAAGACATGCCAATTTTTATATAGAAATGTCAAACATCAAAGTGGTATTGTATTACCTATAGGTTTTGTATCTCTCATTTTCACTTACTTTATAATGGATATATCTGATATCAAAAGTATGGATTTACATAAAATATTTCTGAAAATGAATAGCTTAAAAATATAAAACTAGTAAATGCTCCTTGCAAAAAAAAAAATGTAAACAGTACAAAAATATATTAAAGCAGATAGCTCAGACAGCCTTCCCTCTGGAGAGTCATTATTAACATTTTGGCAAATATTTTTACACATGTAAAAACCCATGTTTTATATGAAAAAACTCAAGTTATATATGCTGTTTTGAAAACTTGAAAAAAATTCAGCCGGATCTTGGCAACATCTTTCTATGTAAATAGTGTGAGATCAGTCTTTTTAAAGACTGCATATTTTCCTGTGAGATTATAACTTGATTTACTTGGCTGAAACACTAATGATGAACGCTTATTTTTCAGGTTTTTCAAATGGTAAATGATGCTGTGATGAACATCCTTGGAGGCAGAGAATTGTCTCTGGAAAAAGACATGGATTGACAAGTCAGTCTGTACAAGTTCTCTTTGAAAATGCACAGCATGAAAAAGCCTGGATGTTGAGCCAGTGTACCCAGGTTATTTCCCTGCGGGATCAGGACTGATTCTGTTCCTTTGCCTACTCTCCCATCCCTTCCACCTTTCTATTAGAAGTATGTCTCACTGGTGTCTACTGTTACTTGGACTCCAGGAGAAATGCATTTTTATGCCCAATAAGAAATGAGTGTTTTCTAACCACTCAGGTGCCACCCTGACGATCCTGTCTTTACTAGTAGTTTGCTTCACGCCACCCTCTGCCCGCCAACAGCGTCTCCACATCTGTCCTCCCTCTTGGAGGCTGTGGGTCCTCCCCTGTCTGTAAGGTAACCCAGCTGCACCCCGCGGGTTTCAGGGGGTGGGGGTGCTGTCAGGCATGGAGAGCGAGCAGGGCTTGAGGTCCAGGGGGGCCCCCTGAGACGGCGCCTCCGTGAACACAGGCTGGTAGCCCCTGGCAGGAGCAGACTGGATTCCAGCTCCTGGGAGAAGCCGTGAAGACCACACCAGGGCAAAGAGGCTTCGCCTGCTCAGGTGCGTCCGAGCTGCCCCGCACCCCCGCGTTTCTTTCACCCCAGGCAGGTGACCGTGATGACCTGGCCAGAGAGAAGCTGGTGGCTTCTGGGCGGCCGCCCCGCCCCCAGGACATCCGAGGACACAGAGGTGTCTGGCGTTTCCACCGAGGTCACTGGTCTAGTGGGTTGCTGGGTGTTTCGTCTGTACTGAGATACTTCCTCTTTCATTTGCGTCTCATCCACCCCCCCCCCCCCCCCCCC